GGGCCTCCCCACCAGCAGCACTGGGAGGCAGGACCAGCCTCCCCAGCAGCTCCACGCTCCGGCAGGTCCCACATGAGCTCATCCAACTCCTGTTAGGATTTAAAGTGGGAATCCCCGGTGAAGATCCCATCGGCTCAAATCAGAGCTGCCCTCAGCCCACACCACTATTCCAAGTAATGTCCAGCAACCCCTCACACCCAGCCCCTTTGTCCCTCCAAAATCAGTGGCTGCACAAAGCTGATGGCGCACGCTCCCCTCTGCTGTTTGTGCTCTGGCTGTGTCACCTCCTGTGGCCCTGTTCTTAGAACCATAGAATCATTTAGGTTGGAAAAGACCTTTAAGATCATCAAGTCCAACCTTTATCCTAACCCTGCCATCCCACCACTAAACCATGTCCCTAAGCACCTTGTCTGCTCATCTTTTAAACACCTCCAGGGATGGGGGCTCGACCCCTTCCCTGGGCAGCCCGTTCCAATGCTTGACAACTCTTTTGGGGAAGAAATTTTTCATAATGTCCAGCCTAAACCTGGCCTGGCACAACTTGAGGCCATTTCCTCTGGTCCTTCTTCTCAAGGGTTGGGCAGCCCTCAGCCGCAGTCTGTGCCGCTGACTGTTAAGTGCAGCCCCATGGGTGGAAACCTCCTCCCCAGAGTGGGTGACTGTACCTACAGGCTGCACAGTCGCTGGGAAAAGGTGAATGATGTTTAACAGAGCCCTGGTCTTCCTTTCCAAAGGTTAAGCTCCTAAAAGGCAGAAAATGACTGTTGCTTTCAGTCCTTTTAAGGCAGCTTTTAGATTAGGCTGTAGAAACAGCCCGTAGGTGCTTTAATGTTTAAAATAAGTGAGTGTCTCTTGGTGTGGTTGAGTTAAAAATAGCTTCTTCATCATGATGAAACCAAGGCAGGGAAAGCTGGAGGTGTTTGCTTGTATTTGGCTGGTGAGTCACCAGCAGGCTGGGGCTGGGGTCTGGCACTTGGGCACCCAGGGCAAGGCTGGGCTCAAAGGCAGCGCAAGTTCAGCGTAAACCAAGGTCTGTGGTAGTGAAGGCTTATCGGTGCCCGCCATCCAGCTGCCTCGGTGCCCGCAGGCATGTTGCTCTGTGGGGGATGGGAGCGGTGATGGTGTCCACAGGAACGTGCTGGAGCCCCACCGTGTGCTCCATCGTGTCTTGTGGTGAGACCCGGGAGCTCTCCCCGTCTGAGCATCGGCCAGGCGCCACGTGGTGGCCCTGCTGGGGGACAGGGTGGTTGGGTGCTGTCCCATCCCAGTGGCATGAGCGCTGGGGGATGCGAGGGAGTAGGACAGGCAGGGGCATCTCCTCCCTGTCTGGCACAGGGGTTGCTCTCAGGCTGGCCAGTCTAACCGTAGTTTTAGTAGCCCCAAGAATCAAGCAGCTCAGAGGGGGCTTTGCAAGGGGGATTTTGGCTAGTGGGGAAACTGAGGCACAGAGCAGACCTGTGAGCTGGCAGTGGTGACAAGGCAGAGCAGGTTTGCTGTTCTCCAGAGCAGTGGGGTAGAACCTGGTAAAAGCCCCTGTTGTCCCAGGGAAGGGGCTCTGCAGGGTGTCCTGCCCCCTCTCTCATGGCGTGCTGGCGGCTGGCTGGGTCACCTACTCCCGCTGCAGGGATTGCCTCCTGCTGGCACAGTCTGCTAGGAGGGAACGAGGGTCTGCTCCCTGCAGCCCCCACCATGCACTGGCCGTGTCCACACTCCCTGGGGACCTTGCCCAGCTGTGCACTGACTGATGGGAGGCGAGCCGCTGCTGAAAATACCTTTTTCTTGTTTTCTGCGAGCAGCTCCATTGCATCCTTCATCAGGCGGGGCTGCTGATCTGGGGGGAACGCCCTCACTCCTGGGCCAACACCATGCCCACATCACCAGCATGGAAATGGGGAACTGGTGCTGGGCTCGGCCCTGCCTGGCAGTGGGAGCTCCTGGATGCCATTGCTGTTCCCCACTGCGGATGATGGGCTTTGCCATCAGCAGCCAAGGCGCTTTGTTGCAGGCTGACACAGGGCTGTGGGATGGGCTGGAAGAGGGAAAAATCACTTCTGGGAGGC